AGGATGTAATACATCAATAATCCTCATCATTTCCATCTGAGAAAATTTATTTTAATTATAAAAGACTACAAACAAGTTGAGTATTTTATTCAAAATACTAAGGTCTATTTGAGTTTTTTGAATTTACTCAGTTAGACTTACTCTTAGAGCAATTGACTTCATTTACTCTAAGAGATAGAGTTGTAGTTCAAATAACAAATCATTGAAGTCCTAGATCACTCCTAAATCAGACCTAGAGGTTTTTTCCTTTGTTTTGTTTGTTTTGCTTTTATGGTGAGTGGATTTGTTTTCCAATCCACTGGGTGTGTGTAAAGTGACTGTATACACTGTACTTGTATACACAAGAAAAATACTTTTCCTATTTCAACTAACTTGAACTGTGCCAAAATAGCACTTTCAATGATCTCCATCAAGACACATCACTTTGGCTGCTAATCTAACCTTAGCGTGTTGAATGCAATGACTTACAAAGGAGAATATAAATTCCAAGTACATGAAGCCCAATAGGATAAATATTGCCTCCATTATCTCCTATAATTAATGTCAAAATAGAGCTTCTCTTTCCAAAATGAAGTACCAAGATGTTACTTTCTTTAAAAGAGGTTTCAATACAATGTAAAAATAACTATACTATTTAAGAAGAAACTAAAATATGCCTGTCTACAGGAATTTTGCATATTTGTGTAACATTAATCTTCACAATAATGCTATGAGGTAGACTTAATTACTTGTAGTTAATTCACAGATGAAGAAGATAGTGCTGAAGGAATTTAAATAACCCGGTAGATTTATATTGTCAATAGGTGGCAAAACCCAATCTGAATCCACATATCAGAAACTCAAAAGCCGTGCTTATTTCAGTACATGATTAATATCAATTGCCCTGTAATTGGACCTGAGTTAACAGAGCCATTAATATATTCTTAGATTTTAAATCCATTGAAAACACCACATTTTTATAAATGAGAATTCTCAAAGTAAATCATGCAACATAACATAGCCAAGATCACAACTTAGTGTAAATTAGTGGAAAATCTGTTGACATTTTGCTACACAAAATACCCCATTATGTCTTAAAACTTTAGATAATTGTAATATTCTACCTAAATTGTCTTTTTAGACAAACTCATACTAACTGAGAACAAAGCATTTGATCAAAGCCGAGTGATTCCTTTATCTTCAGTTGACAGCAATCAAGATTACTCTCTCCAGAAAAATTATTTCAATTAACATTTGCATTTTACCTGGTAGCAATGGCGCTAGAAGGAAGAGTAAAAAAAAGAGGACAGGCATCTTCATGATTGAAGAACGTCAGTTAAGTCCACAGCTCTGGAGTCTTAAAAAGGAGGTAGAGAGACTATCTTTCTATATTTCTCTGCCTGCAGTGATATGAATTTAGTCATTCATGTTTATCAAAAGTTAACATTCCTGTTTAGCAGTGCCTGTGGCAACAGCACTGGACATTGTTTTTATCTTGGGAATGGAAAGGTCTCGTGAAATCCCCAGCAGATTATTATTATTTTTAATGACTAGTTATCTAAGAAATTCCATATCACTGGGAATTTTTTACAGGACATTTGAGAAATATAAACATGAGAATTTAATCCTAGCATTTTTTTCTTTTTCTTAAAAAGCTATTTGAACTACTGAATTTAGAAAGTTGCAGAAATTCTTGTTCCCTAATTTATTGCTTTTGCCACTGGATCATCTTTCCCCCATGATTTACAGCCATTGTTAAAGCACTCATCATTACCAAAAGAATTATTTTCTGAATCTCACATGAATGTGCAGCACAGAGACAAATAAGGTGTATGAGAATTTCACAGTGAATATGTACACTCACAACACACACACAACCAAACAACATTGTTTGTACTGTTGTATCTGCAAGATGCCAAATGGAAACACCATTAACTATCATTTTAACAAGAAAATAAATTATTTGGATGGCATCTGTAAGGAGATATTTAAGTTACCACTTTTATGAAGGAATATTCAGCAAAAAATTCAAATCAAAGTTTGCTTTACTTTGCTTTGAGTGTTCTTTTGTTTTGGGTCTGGAAATAACAATTACTAGGAATTGTGGTTATAATCCATTAAAGAGAAGCAGTAGCAAAATTCCCAATTTAAAGGCATTAGATTTTTCTACTCTTAGAGCACAAGGGAAGTTTTCTACTAAAAATTAAAAAATGTGATAAACCTCATTACACTTAATTACGATCCAAGTAACCTGAAACACTGCAAGATTATTCAGTGGTTGTGCCATGTAGTTAGTATACTGTTGAATCCCCAGGACCAGTCTCTGTAACAAATTTGCAAAAATTGAATGGGTCCTCTAAACTGTCTTTACTATAAAATAGGTTCAAAGGTTCAAAGACTTATTAATTATTCAAGCGAATAGTTACAGATTAGATGTGACTCTCACTCCAAATAGTGCTATTAAAATATTGGCGGTGGGTGAGATGTGGTAACAACACCTGAAAGGGGGGAACCCTAAACCTCTAAATCATATACAACATTGTAAGTCAATGTTACCTCTATAAAAAAATAAATAAAACATGAAAGAATAGTTGGAGCTCATCTTAGTCTAGTGTTTTTAGGATATATATTTGTTTTCAGTACACTAGTTATTACAAATGTTGCTTCTGCTGTTCCAGGGCTTATAGAAATAGATACATGGAGAAACTAGTGTGAAAATATAAACACCTTATTATTTTTGACATCTTCCTCTACTGTAGGTAACTTTCATTGACCATTGAATCTTATGTACCTTAAAAGAGTGTTTATTTAGGAGTTAGAGTAGCCAGGTTTGTTTTTGTTTTTGTTTTTGTTTTCCTATATGCCACTGACATGCTTAGAAATGATCTGTTCAATTCATCTATCTGGGCTTCACATCCCTTATCCTTGAATAATAAGAGCTAATATTTGTTATATTTGCTATGTGGGCACTGTATTAAATACTTTCCTTATATTAACTCATTTAATTATCTATGAAGTTAACTAATCTTTTATTTTAAGGATTTGACTCATTTAACCTTAGTATATTAGTATACTAGAATATACTAGAATATATTATATATTCTAATATTATATATTAGAATATATATTAGAATATTAGAATATACTAGAATATATTAGAATATACTAGAATATATTAGTATATTAGAATATACTTATTGAATGAGCAGAACTTTGTAAAGACAGCAATTATTTCTATATTCTATTATAATTTCTGCATCAGTCTCATACTTAGTTTTCCTATCTTTATATCAGTTAAATGATGTGATATTTAGATAATAAGGCTACATGTGTTATTTTAGTAAATCCTATAAAGGAGGTAAAAATACTATTTTAAATTTGTAGATGTGGAAACCCAGACAAAAAATTCAAGTACTTTTCCCAATTTGGTTAAGTTGCGTGAGATAGTGAGGGAAAATGAACCCAGCGTATTGAATTCCAGAGTTCCACCTCTTGGCCACCTACATACTTACTGTATGATGACTAGCATGATCAAATTATTTTGAAATCCCCACCATGAAAAATTCTTGCTCTGATTTCTTTCATTGCTCATAAGACATAGGTAAAACTTTATAAATATAAAATACTAGAAAATTAAATGTGATATCATGAAATTATTGATATAGAAAATCCTATTCATATGGTTTTCAAAACTAATTTTGTAATTGCTAGGGTAAATTTGTCAAGCTCTTTGGCTATTTTAAGTAATCATAATGCACATTTCTTAAACTGGTATTTATAAGGAAAAACATTGTACTCTTTAATCATTTAACTACCGGTCCATCAAATGTGCTGAACAAAAGTACGATAACAAAGTCTCTTTGTTCTTCAATAGAAGATATTTCTTTAAAATCCAAAAAAAAGTGAGACTCTTATATCAGAGTTGCAACATTGATTCTGATAGCAGAGCAAATAGGATGAAGGGCATCTTCTAAAGATAAAATAACTTAGAAAAAAGCCCAAAGATAGATGTATTTTATCAAGTATCACAACATACTTCAGTGATAGCAATAACACAAGATGATATTTCTTAAAATTATGCATAAGTTGATCAGAGAACCATATTTATCTTTCATCTATGTTCATAAGCTTAGTTCTTTACTAATATGGCATATTAAAAAAAGTCCACATATCCACAAATGATGCTGAGATTAGCAAACTATCAGAAAAAGTATGTAGAAACCCATGTCACTCAATTTCAGATATTCAAAAATTAAATACATGTGTGTAAGTATATACATATGTATATGTGGATATAAAATGTATCAAAAATATGTATGAAAGCATTTTATACTCTTCTTAAGGAAGGGCCTTTCTAAGCAAGGAAAAAGTCTTAGAATCTACATGAAATATGATTTGACTATATGCAAACTTATATTTTATATTTATTTTTACGAATGAAAAGCAAAATTTGAATAAAGTATTTGCAATGTATTTATGTAAAGAGGCACCCTATAGTAAATGTATTCCTGTGGTCTTGAACCTCAAAGGGACAGCTCTTATTGAATGAGCAGAACTTTGTAAAGACAGCAATTATTTCTATATTCTATTATAATTTCTGCATCAGTCTCATACTTAGTTTTCCTATCTTTATGTCAGTTAAATGATGTGATATTTAGACAATAAGGCTACGTGTGTTAATTTTAGTAAATCAAATTTCTTATGAGGTCATGATTAAACTGGTAAATATTCAATTGTGTAAGTTTAGAGTCCATAAAAATACAAAAAGTACTCCTCAATTGTAATAAACATGGTAGAGGAAATCAGCACCAGGTATGCCCCCATCAAAACCTCTAAGAAAAAATAACAAAGCTCCTTCCTTATTCCATTAAATACACAATTAACAACTACAATGGAAGACCCCCAATATTGGTTTATGTGTTTATTTATTACAGTTTTAAATTAGTCATTATATTCTTATACCTTTTTGCACTGGTGCACATATGACTTCTTTGATCAGATGTACTTCTTCCATTTCAAGATTAATCATCTTCAAATAGCCTCTCAACACAGCAGAACATACGTGGTGAGAAACATAGATCAATTCGCTTTTCACTTTCATCACAGGTTCTCCTACATTGACCCATATATTTTGAGCACTGATCAGGATCCACGAAGGAACATGTAGCTACATAAAGGAAGAATAACTGGAATTACTGATCCTTTACTTAAAAACATAGTATTCCTAATTACAAAAAAGTACTGTGTGTACAAATTTGAAAATTACCGAGAGACACTAAAAATGTCACATACACATAACAAGTTTCAGTTACAAAAAAATTTTATGTATATAAATATATACTCAGGGCCTCCCTGGTAGCGCAAGGGGTTAAGATGCAACCTATGAAGTTGTCTGCAGCCACTGCAGCACGAGTTTGATCCCCAGACAGGGAGATACCCACATGGAGCAGCAGACCTCTCCTGACTTGCCTGCTGCGCCCCTCAGCAGTGTATGTCAGTCAGTCTGCCTGTTCTGCTCCCCACTCTGTCTCTGGTGAATCCTCTCACCCCCTGCACCCCAGTTCTTGCCTATACCCCAGTTCTTGTATGCATAAATAAATAAATCTTTAAAAATATATATATATACTCATACACATATTTGAAACTTTATTTTTTAATTGAAGCAAGATTGGTTTACAATGTTGTTTGTGTTTTAGAGCTATAGAATCTCCCCCTTCAGATGTTGCTATCACAAGGCACCCACCACCCCAGCACTGGTATCCATTGTGCTTCTTCTCCTTTCTGTTTTCTTTCCTCTACTTCCCCACTCCCTGGGCAGTTTCATTTCTACTTGTTTTTAATTAATGTATGATCAAATTTTGTGTCATATATTATACTCCTTGACAAGATTTAAAAATTTTAGAGCTACATAATGTTGTCTTGAAATCATATTTATTTTGTCTTTTAATTAGGTCATATTTAATGTTTTAGTATTATAAGAAAATTTTAGTATTACAATAAAATGTTTCTGAAGAAAATTATCTCATTGCTTTCTGAATTCCTTTTTTGTTGTTGCTAGAGAAGTCAGCTCCCAATTTAATATTTGTTCCTTTCACAGGTATTTTTTCTTCAATTTTTGCTTTGTTTTTTTGTTTTTGTTTTTTTTTTTAGCCACTTACTAAGTGGTTTTGTGTTCATTCATTCCTTATTTTGTCCTCCCTTCCTTTCTCCCTTCTCTCATCTTTTTAATTTTCCCTCTTTCATCTTTTTAAAATGTCTTGCCAACATGCATAAACTACTGTTTAACACACTCACTATGTATTGAATTGTGTTTTATTTTTCAGTTCTACAATTTTGCCTTTGTTCTTTGATGTAGCTTTCATTTCTCTGCCAAGTTTTTAAACTTATATTTTTATTTATTTAAGCAAATTAGGCATAATTATTTAAAGTCTGATTCTGATACCTTCATTATCTGAATCCTTCATTAATGAATCTCTTAGGTATTAAGCTGTTCTTTGATATTTGACAGGATGGTCTTGTTTTCATTTATTCCTATTACTTTCATCATATAAAATGTTAATGAAAATTTGAGGAAATAACATGAGGCCTAGAATGATACTATCTTTTTTTCCAGAAGTGATTTATTGTTTCATGCTTTTGGCTAGAACCACCAACCAATGTATTTGGATGAGTTCTGAATATTTACAGAATTTGAGATAATATGAAAATTGACATCCCCTTGGATGGCTGAATTAATGTCATTTTAACTTAAACCTACTTTACAACATTCTAGGATCCTCATCCAAAACATAGATTTTTTTTAAATAGTTCTTCCTTCTCATGTTCTGGATTATACTTTTTGCCCCTGTGGTAGTATAAGTCTATAAGATTCAACTTCTCTCTTTTCTCTTCAGAAATGGCAGATGCGTCTAGGGAGAAGAGTTACCTCAATGGCATATCTCAAAAAAAAATCAGGCTTTTTTCCTGTAATTTTTCATTGCTCTATTAATTCTGTGATGCTTTTAGAAAGAAATTATTTGTCGCATATGTCCATCTATCCCTTTGCTCCCAGCGACAGTTATTAAAAAAAAAAAAACAACCACCATATTTTATAGCATGTTTTAACATTAGGTTGCTATGTGAAGCATACTGCTATAATTTATAGCGTGTTTTAACATTGGGTAGAAAAAACACTATTTTTACCTTTTTTTTAAAAAGATCTATCATCTATCTATCTATCTATCTATCTATCTATCTATCTATCTATCTATCTGTCTGTCTGTCTGTCTGTCTGTCTGTCTGTCTGTCTGTCTGTCTGTCTATCTATCTATCTATCTATCTATCTATCTATCTATCTATCTATCTATCTATCTATCTATCTATCTATACATACAAGCAATGGGTACAGTCAGAAGCGAGGGAGGGTGAGCTAATTCACCAGAGCCAGACTGGGGAGCAGAACAGGAAGAATGACGTACTGCTGAGGGGAGCAGTGAGTGCGGCAGGAGAGGTCTGCGCACCATGTGGGTCCCTCACCAGCGCCCGGCATGGGACCGGTGCTACAGAGGCTGCGGGCAGCCTAGCAACCCAGCGCTCAACTGCTGCGCCACCGGAGAGACCCCACTATTTTTACTTTTCAGAATCTTCCAATGGTATAGATTAATATATTTTTAACTACAGAGTGAAAGTGGGTTTATAATCATGGACTTTGAGCTTGAATTTTAATTCTGCCGTTTGCTATCTATGTGACTTTGGATAAGCAATATAAATTCAATAAGCCTTAGTTGCCTCATTGACAAAATGGAGATAATGTTACTAATTCTTGAGTAATATATAAAAATATTTGAAATGTTGCCTAGAATGTATTAGTTTCTTACAAGTTAAGAACAATGATTAATTGATTAATTAGTGGAGACCAAAAGACTACTGTTCATTACTGAGTATGTCTTTGAGAAAAGCAATGGACTTTATCTAGAATTAAAACATTGAAGTTTAGAGATAAATAAAATAGATTTTTTAAGTGCCATGATAGAGAAATACATTGGGTCCAATGTGTGGAGATGAGTATTTACCATGGTTGGTATCACAGAAGACTGATAAGAAAGTGTGAACTTTAAAAATGAGTGAAAAGTATACAAAAAGAATATGAACTAGGTAGACAAAATAATATGATTCTTATTGGAAAGCTGAAAGAGAGCACTGGCACGATTAGGTTTGAAAAATAATAATAATGAAAATAGTTTTCATTCATTGAAAACTTACTATGTGTCAGATATTGTTTTAAATATTTCACATTCATGATTTCACTCAAATGTCATAAAACATTGAGGTAGATTATGTTTAGATAAAATGTTGCCTTTGGGTGAAAAAATAATTTGCCCTTCTGTATAAAGCTAATACATGCTTAACTTAAGTTCAATGTTAGATTGTTCCAAATCCAGAATTCACATTTTAAGTTTTTAATCTATGGCCTCAATATTGAGGAGGTTGGAAAGTAACAAATAAAAGGCACTCAATAGGTATCTGAATTTTCCCTCAAATTAGATACTGCCTCCAGTATACCTGGTAGTCTCTAGGAGCCATAATTATTTTATGACTATAGAGGAACATGAAGATATGAAAGTTGTAAGTTGAGTGTACAGTAACTGATACTGTCTTCTCACCAACATTTAACAAAGGTGAATGTCTCTCCTTCACTATTTTAGACACAGCTTCCTATTCATCATGAAATATATCACAAAGCTGGGGCCTCCTTGGTGGTGCAAGGGATTAAGATGCAACCTATGAAGCTATCTGCAGCCTCTGCAGCATGAGTTCAATCCTCAGCCAAGGAGCTACCCACATGGTGCAGCAGACCTCCCCTGTCTTGCCTGCTACTCCCCTCAGCAGTGTATTTCAATCAAATGTGCCTGTTCTGTTCCCCACTCTGTCTCTGGTGAATTCTCTCACCACCACCACCCCCACACCTCTGGCCTGTACCCCAGTTCTTGTATGCAAAAATAAATAAATCTTTTAAAAAAATGAAATATATCACAAAGCTGCCAAGGCCACCATGGTTCTGTCATTTGAGATTCTTGGCATATTCTGAGACATATTAAGAACTGACTGTCTCTGGCCATTACCTTGTACTCTTTCCCTCCACTATTTCCTCTCATTTCCCCCCTTTCTACTTACAGCTTCTTTTTTTCTTTCCTTGAATGATTGCAATATGATATTCAATGTGATAAACATTTTGCTTACCTTATCCCTTTCAATCTTTGCAAAACTATATGGAAGTAATATTATTACCACCCAATGTATAGTTAAAAGGACTAAAACTTCCTTCACAACTATAAAGGAGTTCCAGGTCCATAATATAAACTTTGGTCTATTTGCTGGCACGCTCAGTGTATAAACCATTATAGTATGATGTTTTCACCATTTGTATAAATTATTTCATGTTTTCCTTAAAATACTATGCACTCCTGTAGGTTTTAACTATCATTAGTTCTGGTCTCTATAAATTATCTACAACTAGTCACTCTGGACCAAATACTCATTTTAAGTCTTCACAAAATGTCCACATGATCCAACACTTTTATTGCTTCTTTTGTGACTTTAAGGTTTTACCAAGAGCCAAACCACACCATTGTGCAACTGACATGTATTATTCTAACTCCATCAAAGCCACCCACGTGACTTTTTTTATTATGTTTCCTGTTTTTGTGGTCTATCAAAGGCCAAATGTAGAAGATTCTGTCCATTTCAATAGACATTATAATTTTCAATAATATATCTGTTCAGATTATCAAAAGGCAAAAGAAAGCTGTGGTAACATTAATAGACCAAATATCTTTATAGCCTTAAAGTTTTTGCAATGCTTAGCAAATGTGGAATTTGATGATACAGACCCCACACATCTGAAGTGCTATCTTCCCATTGTGATTTCACTGCTTTAAACCAAATTATCATTATTTTTAAAGATTTATTTATACATACAAGAACTGGGGTGTGAGGGTGACAGTATTCACCAGAGAGAGTGGGAAGCAGAATACATGGGTCTAATGAAATACACTGCTGAGGGGAGCAGTGGGATAAGACGGAAGAGGTATGCTGCACCATGCGGGTTAGCTCCTTGGCTGGGGATTGAACTTATGCTGCAGTGGCTGGTGATAGCTTAATAGTGCTGAAATTTTAACCCCTGCACCATCTGGGAAGCCCTTAAACCAAATTGTTTATCCAGATTTTTCTTTAACATTAGAGTCTTTCAATGGCTCTTGGAAGCATAATGAATTGGAAAGGACAAATACGAGGGGATCTGAAAACCCTAGATTTGTGTTCTACTTGTCACTCATAGTACTGGTGTGAACATGAAAAATCCCCTCCCTCTGTGTCATTTCCTCTTCTATAAAATGGGATGACAGTCATCTCATATTACAAGATCACATTAGATGTGAAGGTATGTAATGGTATTTGACACATATTAGTCACATGTTTATTTCTTGTTTTTCCTCTCATTCTCTTACCTTTCAAGGTCTAAATAGTAGTATCTTACTCTACATTTCAAAGTTCTTATGAAAGCTTGAGAGAACTCAGGACATTTCCCCAAACCTCCACAATTGACACAATTCCACCACCCATACTATAAAGCAATGAAATATGCTATTTCTGATACCACTTGAATTTCTAACTTCCTAGGACTAAATTAGAACTATTGGATTTAAATTTACATCTCCATTGTTAGAAAACCTGGATTTTCTCAGTGCTATAGCTTTCAATAATACCATGTAATGAACACCAAGGTATTTATTACAGTGCATATTTTGATTATTTTTCATTGATTTATAATGCTATCATTATATTACTTTACTAATGTATTAACTATTTCAAGAGGGATTTTTTTTAAAGATTTATTTATTTATGCATACAAGAGCTAGAGTATAGACCAGAGATGTTGGGGTGAAAGTATTCACCAGAGACAGAGTACGGAACAGAACGGGCAGACAGACTGAAATACATTGCTGACCGGAGAAGCAGGCGAGACAGGAGAGTTCTGCTTTGCCATGTGGGTTTCTCTGTGGCCAGCCAGGATCGAACTCATGCTGAATAGGCAGCATATTGCTTCATACTGCGGCGCTTAACCCTTTGCATCACCAGGGAGGCCCTCAAGAGGGATTTTGAGTTACTATTTCTTCACTTGCCATTTTAATTTTACAGTACTTCAATTGGACCAGCATATTCTTAGACTAATATTCTCGATCATCTTATATATTCTATTACTGATAGACCTGATAGAATATATGTTGTTGTTTTCCATCCATTCATTTTCTCTGTAACCTAAAATATTATTAGTCTTAATTTCTGAATCTCTTAAATATTTTAATAATTTATACTTTTATTAATAATTTCAATATAAAAAATAAATCAAGCCCTCAAAAGAAAATAGGACTATCCTTAATCATCTCACCTTTTTGCATTAATTTTCCAAATTAGTTAAATCAAGTCCATTAGTATAACAGTATTCTAAATGAGGCAACCAACATTCAACGTAACCAAGGGAAATGAATTGACAAAACTGTGTCAAGAAACTGTATTTTCCAATTTGTAATCTAGTATTTCTTTTTTTAACTAGTAGCTTTATGTTACATACAAACATACCAGAAGCATATATTTTTACCTGGCAGGATGAAGGTCACATAACACAGAACGTGGAAAAGGTAATAAAAAATCTTCATTCTATTTTTGAAAGCAGCTGAAAAATGTGGTAACACAATCTAAAGTGCTTTTCAAAAGGTGAAGAGAGATTTGCTATTTATACTTTTCTAGTAGAATAGAAGACTCTTTTCCCGGAAATTGTTTTAATTTTGTGTGCTTTTCTCTGCACCACTAACTCCAGCTGTGGGCAGAATTACCAAATTGAAAACATTTGAGATTAATTGATCCTTAGAGAGGAGTTTTCACCTGGGTATATATATATGATATCTTCATATCAGTGATGATCAATTAAGCAGCAACACAAACAGGCAGGCATGGAGTAGGTTTAAGAGAACTATTTAGCCATTTTAGATGAAAACAACTGATATTTACCATGTCAGTTAACTCGTGGTTGCCTTTTAAAATATGTCCTCTTGATTAATTCAGTGTGAATATTCATCAATGGCTATGTATCTAAAGTCCTTAATTATATTCAGTTAGGCCAATGATTTTCCTGAAATTATTCACTTAACAAAGACCAAATATTAAGCCTTATTTTTTTCAGTTATTACCTTTTTTCCAGGTGCAATTGGAATATTTACAAAGATCTCCTTTTTCCTAGAAAATCCTTATTAGTCTCTGTAGGGTAAAGAAAATGTCAGGCTTTTCTGCCCTTCCGCCATCAGGATAGATGATGGATCCTTGTCCTGAATGCATGCCTGATGGCGGGCACCTGGAATAGGGTGTGGGCATAGGTAGATGGGATTCAGCTGAGCTAAGACTGTGCTTTTTAAGGGCGGCGTCACGGGGGGACGCCAGCAGCACCAGTAGCAGCAGTAGAAGCCGAAGCAGAAGCCGAAAGAGAAGCTGAGAAGCAGCAGAACGAATGCTAGAGAGCCCAGATAGAGTGAAGACTTGCTGGGGGCTGGGAGGCCTACCAGCCTCCCAGCCCCCCAGCCAGCACCCCTGCCTGCCATTTGCCTGGTGAACCCCAATAAAAAACCTGCAAAACTACTGAGGACTCTGACTCCTCCTTTACCCGGTCTGCATGGGATCAGAAAACCTGCACTGTGGCCAGTCCGGCCTTTACAGTCTCCATTTATCTTAAATTTTTTATAGAAATATATGTAAACAATAAATATTGAGAAAAGACCTTGTAATGATTAAAACCAATGTCCAACCTCGATCTTCCTATTTTCGGGTCTGGTTAATAGTAAGATAAGTATTAAGATCCAGCTTAGACTTTGTCCTTGATGGGTGTAGGGTAAGAAAAAAATGTCAGGCTTTTCTGCCCTCCCGCCAGTAGGATAGATGACGGAACCCTGTGGTCCTGAATGCATGCCTGATGGTGGGCACCTGAAGTAGGGTGTGGGCATAGGTAGATGGGATTCACCTGGGCTAAGACTGGGCTTTTAAGGGCGACGTCATGGGGGTGCCAGCAGAAGCCAAGAGAGAAGCAGGAGAAGCAGAAGCCGAGAGAAGGCCAGAAAGCCCAGAGTGAAGACCAGCTGGGGGCTGGGAGGACTGCCAGCCACCCTGCCTGCCATGTGCCTGGCAAATCTAAATAAAAGACCTGCAAAAACCACTGAGGACTCTGACTCCTCCTTTACCTGGTCTGCTGGATATTAGAAAACCTGCACTGTGGCCTGTCCTGCCCCTACAATGGGCAACCAGAGGATACATAGTTTGGTTTCCACTAAGAACAATAGGATTTAGGTTACTTATACTCTCTTGTGCTTTCTCCTCAAATATTGAGCTCAGTTAAAATAATTTTAGAGTGCCTCCCTGGTGGTGCAAGGGGTTAAGACACAACCTATGAAGCTATCTGCAGCCACTGCAGCATGAGTTTGATCCCTGGTTGGCCAGGGAGCTACCCACATGTCACAGCAGACCTCTCCTGCTTCTCCCACAGCTCCCCTCAGCAGTGTATTTCAGTCAATCTGCCTATTCTGTTCCCCACTCTGTCTCATCACCCCCCACACCTCTGGCCTGTACCCCAGTTCTTGTATGTATAAATAAATAAATCTTTAAAAAAATAATTTTAGAAAAATTCTGTAAGCTATCTCCAAACATTTAAATACATCTGCCAACATTAGCTGCAACATGAATTCTTCTCTATTTAAAATAAAGATATTTACTCCCTTGCCAGTTTTGCCAGCACTCATTTTCCATATCTCACTCACTTACTCTTACCCATTTTCTTTTATCTTGTCTAGGATAATATTTGCACTCTGTTTATAGCCAGAATGATTTTCATACTTTATATGTAAAGACTGAACTATAATAAAGCAGTATGGATTGTATTGCATTTTTTAATTTGTCAATACAACAACACCATGCTAATTAAATATCAATTTTCTTGGTTATATTTGTGCTGGGGGAGTCAAAGTGCTATATTATAAGGAACCTTGTAAAGTAGCCCAGTTAATGTGGTGAGACTCTGACCATCTCGTAAGAGCATGGAAGAAAGTGAAATCCTGAGTGCAACAGTTCCCAAGAAATTAAGCCTGCCAGCTACCAACACAAAAATTTGAGAATCTTTCAATACCCCAAAGTTGTACTCTTTACCTATTTCCAGCCAAGTTCCCTGAGTCCTAGACAATCATTAATATTAATCTACTTCTTATATCCATTTTTATAATCTAGATATTTCATGTGAAGGGAATCATATATATGACAATTTATGATTGCCTGCTTTCACTTAGTGTAATATTTTCAAGGTTTAACCACATTGTTGCCTGGATCAGTACTTCTGTTCAGTTAATATCAAATAATAATCCATTGTATGGATATGATAACTGTTTCTACCTTTTAATTAATATGAACAATGATGCTATGCACACCTGGGTATACATTTTTGTACTGGCATATGTTTTCATTTCTTTTGTGTACATTCCTAAGAGAGGGATTGCAGAGTCACTTGAAAAGTCTACACACCACTTTTTTTGTCACTATCAGGCTGTTTTCCCACAGTGTTTGTTCCAATTTACATGTCCATCAATGGTTATGAGAGTTCCAGTTTCTTCATGATCTCACTGACATTTGTTAATTCCTGTTATTTTGATAATAGGTAGGAAGGTAATTCATTGTGTGATATTGATTTGCATACCCTTGATGGCTATTGAGATTAAACATCTTTCCATGTGCTGGTATATTTTTATATCTTTATAGAAATACCTATTCAACTTATTTGTCTACTTTCTAGTAATTTTATTGTTATTATTATTATTGAGTGGTTGATGTTCTTTGTATATTCACAGCTACCCTACATGGCAGGCTGCCAGTTTTCAAGGGTGCTGTTGAGTAAAGGTGAGCAGGGCATTAACAGAGCAGTTAACATGCCACAAAACTGCCTTTTCTGAGATTCTGTATTTTTCTTAAATAGATGTTCCTTTGATATTTGTATGTCTATGTTTGGTTTTTGGAACCTTTAAGAAGTCAGTTTTGATAATTTCCTGCAATTGTTTTTTTGCTTTTATGTAGCAGATTTTTCAGAGTTCTTCACTCCATTCTTTCAGAAGTTCTGCCTATGACTCATTATGTACTATTAAAATTTTTTTTTATACTCTGTAGGTTATATACTTTCTTTGGTTATTAACTATGCTTAATATTGCTCTGCAATGAACTATTTTGAAATGTGAAGACTTAGAACAAAAGACATTTTATAAGCACTGGGATTTTGTAGGACAAAAATTCATATAGATCTTAGGAATGTGTTGCTGCCTCTTCTGTGTTGGGAAACTTGCCTGGGAAAACATGAAAACCAGGAATGATTTCTTTTAGGTTAGTTTTTTTTTTTTAATTCTCCTTTGCAGAGCTGAATTTTTAACATGCTTTAAAAAATATTCCTTGGGATTTGAATCATCTATTTTCTTACCAATTTACAGTTTTTCCTACAATATTTTATCTCATTGCTTCAGCTAATGACTCCTCAAATCTATATATTGAGGTACATTTCCCAAACTTCTCACACACACACACACACACACACACACATACTATAGCAAAAAAGTTGACACTCAACATGTCAAAAACACTCTTTTCTAAATCTACTCCTCTTAGTGTATTTCTTAATGAATGATTGCAATATTTCAGCATTTTCTTCAAGGTTAAAAAAAGGAATTACCTTTCTCTCTTAAACCCCAAATTCACTGAAATACTTTCATTTCCTTGAAGTCAGAATTGTGACCTAAGTTTTTATATTGTCCAGATCTGTGCTAAGCTATAGGTAAAAAAGTACATTCAGTGGCGATGTGAAAATCTAAATGTTAAGCATTTGTTGATGGTATGCTTTATCATTCATAAGGAAGTTTATGTTAAAATAGACACAAAATTATGATACAATTAATGTGGAAAGTGGAAAACTGAAAACACAATAAGCCTATTAAAATTAGGGACAATGACAGAAGCATTAAATATTAAATCATAAGATAAAGAAGTCAAATATAATTCTTTGACTAGAGAATACAAGACCTAGAGAGAAGACCCTTGGATTGACTGCCTATATTCAGAATTTATTATGATGATAAGCTCTGGATTAGTAGTATTAGAAATTATTTTTCTCTTTATATGTCTACATTTCTGAATTCTTATAAGTTTACTTTTTATTTTATAATAAAAATACCTTTATAACATTTTTAATTTGCTTTTATTCTATTAACAATTTACTCTCTGTTATTTATTTTATTGCTCTTTCTCATTATACTATCAACAATTTCTTATTATATAAAATAAGATATATATGATTTTATGTTTAAGACCCAAGCACATTTTTGTTGAGGTTATGGAAAAGTAGCATAAACCATGATTGACAATTTATATCTAAAAAGTCACATGAAAATATTCCGGCTAGTTAGTGCCCATGGCAAATAAATAAGCTAGAAGTAAAAAGATATATTAAGGATGAAGGATGCAGAGTTTTGTCCTGCATGTAGAGAACCTCTACCAATTTAATGAGGGGTTTACCACTCTTCTTGATTTCTCTTGTAATAACCCAAATGTTGAATTCACTATCTGCCATAATACAGTTGTGCAAACCATAAGGCATGGAAACACTGACATGAAAACAGATTTATGGAAAGTAGAAAATTCATTTTTATTAATATTGTTACAACATTGTGCTATATAAATCATGTAGTATAATTAAAATCTGCTCTCTTATGAGCTGTACCAGTAGTAGTGCGTTTAATGGTTGGCTTTATATATTCCCGTACAACACAGCACGGCTCTATATCACAGAAATTATATTTGTATTCCCAGGAGTTGCATGAAGTCTTGCAAGAACCCCGAACAAGGAAACATTCTCTTTTTCTCTCTTCAATTTCTCTTGCTTTTTTCATAAATCCAGGTTTGTTCACTTTGAATATATAAATGGATAGATGATAGATAGATAATAGGTAGATAGATAGACAGATAACTAGGTGAAGTTCTTCAAAACTTAAAGTCAAACTTTTTGTTCTGAAATCATGACCAGGCAACTATATTGAAGAGTTTTCTTTTCCCGTCTCCCTTCTTTCCACCATAAATTGACATAATATAAATACTTATTTATCTACCAGTCACATTTGTCCTTTGCCAGTCACATTTATTTATTTGTTTGTTTGTTAGTTTGTAAATAGAATATCCTTCAATGTCTAACCTGTGTCTATTTTCTTAAGAGTAAAGAGATAATGTGTAAAAATTGTCTTCATGTTTTGTGTTGTAAACAGATATTCACCTCCATTCTCCCCATTCTCCCTATCAATTAATGAGACAGTTAAGAAAAGCCTAATTTTGATAACAGCTACAATATCAGCTTATTAAACTACATTAAAAAAGAAAAGGCAGTAGGAAGCATGAAAGTAACAATATAAATAGGTTTAATTCTACAACTTGGGAAAAATTTCCCATTACCCTCTCTTTTATCAGTTCTTTCATGCAAAATCATTAGAGTTAATTGCACTATAAGGACTTTATATGGAGTCTCTGAATACTACTATATTTTTTCCAAATAAAGCATTTACATATTTTTTAGAAGTCATTTTGCCCTTCCTCCTTTTCCACATGAACAAGTATTACCTGCTGGACCACAAGACACAGTGAAGACAAAGATTAGGAAAATACAAAGTATCTTCATTGCAAAAGTAGTTACTTGAGTCAAGTTGAAGCAGAGCTCAAAATAGCTGAGTTCTATTCTTTGATAAAAGATGAGCTCTTGTTTTATAGCCTTCTGAGGGTGATTACTATTCTTATTAATGCCGCCTTCCAAGAATGAGCCCATATTTATGTAAGTATTGTGAAATAGTAACAAGCAGAATAGAGGGCTCTAGTTCTATTATAACCTCAATGAGCCAAAAGTGAATTCATTTTTAGTTATACAGGCAAATGATGGAGTTAGAGTTTTATTGAATTTTTTAATTGAATACATATAACCAGTATCATCAGTATTTTCTGCCACAGGACTTTCTGAGCATTTTCTATGTGTCAGGCAATGTTCTGCATACTTTATGTTAACTACTTTAATCCTTACGACAAATCCTAAGACACAGAATCATTTGTTTCTCCAGTTGGAGAAACTGGAACAGAAGGATTATAGAAATGTCTTTTTTTTTTTTAAAGATTTATTTATTTATGCATACAAGAGCTGGGGTACCAGCCAGAGGTGCAGGGGGTGAGAGGATTCACCAGAGACAGAGTGGGGAATAAAACAGGCAGATCACCTGAAATACACTTAGTGCTAAGGGGAGCGGAAGGGGCAGGAGAAGTCTGCTGCACCATGTGGGTAGCTCCCTGGCTGGCCAGGGATTGAACTTGTGCTGCAGAGGCTGCAGATAGCTTGATATCTCTGTCTTTAACCCCAGGGAGGCCCAGATTATAGAAATGTTTGCATCATACATGTCATGATGGGCAGAACTAGATGTGTTGCCAGATTTCATCCTCAGTCTCTCCCTTCTGAGTAGTAGTGATCTGCTACTCTAGTAGATCTAGTAGTGATCTGCTACTCCTACTAGAGTAGTAGTGATCTGCTACTCTAGTTACTTCTCTGCTTTATTTCTTATCTAAAATATAGCTATAATTTATAACCAAACCATGGAAAATCCATTTACTTAATACCTTCTTTCAAAAACACCAAAAAAGCCCATTTAAATATTGAAGATTTATTAAAATTTATTGTATGTAAGCAGAAAAATAGCCAGTATGAAAGATGCAACAGAGAATTAAAAGGGCAGCCATTATTATAGTGGCGACATGGATAAGAGGACTTACGACGAAATGGACCATTTTTAAGTCACAGCAGCCACATCCATTTCATTTGCCTAAAATAAATCCTTCCTTCCAAATTGGAACATCAGCCAAGCTTATAAATTGCATATCTGACTCACACAGAGAACAGATAAGTGACTATCATCTCAGTTCTCTCAAGCAAGCAACACAAGTGGGACAAAACTAGATATTAGAAGAGATGTTAATTTAATTTATTTCTTAAAATTAATATCTTAGGACTTAATTGATAGGGATCCAGATTCTAGATTTCCATTAATAGAAAGGTTTTTTTTTTTAAGATTTATTTATTTATTTATACAAGCACTGGGTACAATCAGAAGCGCAGGAGGGTGAGAGAATTCACCAGAGCCAGAGCGGGGAACAGAACAAGCAGATTGACGAAATACACTGCTGAGGGGAGCAGTGGGCGCAGCAGGAAAGGTCTGTTGCGCCATGAGGGACACTGGCCCGGTGGCCAGGGATCGAACTGGCGCTGCAGAGTCTGCGGGCAGCTTCGCAGCCCAGCGCTCAACCGCTCTGCCACCAGGGGAGGCCCAATAGAAAGTTTTTTAAAAGAGGGAGCAAGAGACCAAAGGGTAGGAAAGAAGATTAAAATGAGATTGTAAGTAGTATAAATTCACCAGTCATTAAACATTTGTTTCACATTTTGCAGATGATCTTCTTAGATATGTTAATTCAAATTTTATGCAGATGAAGACTCATTTACTTACTGAATGAGTATTACATTACTTTAACCTCATCTAACTATAATCCCATAATCCTCCCTTTACTTCAGAAGGATTGTGTGTGTGTGTGTTTGTGTGATATGTTAATATTGAAAACAAACACTTATGAAACATTTCTTTTTCTCAGTTTTATTTATTGATTTATTTATTTTTGCATTAAAAAACAGGTTTAGGCTTAGCTAGGAATATACCTGTGATCCAGAGAGGTGTACTTTTGACTTATTAGAGATATTAACTAAAGCTTCTTTCAAGTTTCAGTTCCTCTTTTTTACTCAGAATCACACTTTTTTTTTTTTTTATTATACTGTTGCCTACTACACGCGTATCATCTTAATAGCAGAGATGTTGAAGACTTTTTCTTTGGAGAATATTCTAACAGTAATAGTAACCATTCCTTCATTCCAAAATTTTTTTTTATATTCCTCATTTGTCTTTATTTGAAGTTTGCATGGCTCATTATTAGCTTCTCTTTTATTTTTTATTCATATAGTTTAATATGATTCTTATTACTGCTATCATTATTAATATTAACTAAAAGACATTGACTGAAGAGGGGCAAAGTTCAATATTCTGACGGCATAATGTGTGTGAGGAACAAAAAAGACCAGTGAGCTGATGCTTGGTGAGCAATTAGAAGTGGTCAGGGTGAGGTCAAGAAATAGGAGCTCAATCTCATTAGACTTTTTAGTCATGGTGAAGTGGAAGTTTTTATTTTAAGTTTGATGGAAGACACTTAAGAGTTTGAATTTACTGTGGTTTCTATTGGAAGAAGCTCTTTCGAAGGAAGTAGGAGCAGAATTAGAAAGGGAGATAATTTGGGTGGCCACTTATGGTAGTTTCTGAGGGAAAAGACTTTAGATAAGGGGATTTCCGAGCTGCCTAGCTATTGTTCTCCTTGCTCTTTACTTTTCTGATGCTCAGTTCTCCACACTTTGAGCCTGTTTATACTCCCACTTCCCAGATCTGACTGCAAATAAGAAGGAACTGTCCCTGATATTGTGCCCATTGTCGGATCATTGATCATTGATACACATCTGCTCATTCCTTCCCAGTTACCATAAGCCTTTGGCTGGACTATTGGTGCTTTCCTAAGGCACAATCTAATAATGACAAACTGAGCCACGTGGGAGTTTAGAACAGAGGGTTTTTCTTTTATCTCATGATATGTAGCAACTTAAGGGACATTCACAACCCCCAACAAAGTTGTCATCCAACACACAGTAAAACAGAAATTCTTATGGGGGAAATTTCAGGTTAGTTGAGAAATATGAACACATGCTTGAAAGAGGAAAGAGGGGAAGACAAGTGGTAGGAAGAAGAGAGAAGTGGGAGCAGGGAGGAGAGACGATATGGAGGAGGATATGGATGCAGCATTGATGTGTTGCTTAAATAATGCTTCTTGAACACTGATGTGTGTGTGTACCACCTGGATTCTTGAATTAAGATGGATTCTCACCTAGGTTAAGATGCAAATTCTACTAAAGTGGTTATGGGTCAGGTTCACGACAGCCTGCTTCCTGCCTTCCCTCCCATGGTATAAATGCCCATGAGGCGTTGCGCACGCTTTGAACAACACAGCACAATTCGAGGCAGGCACTCACCCCATCAGAGCTGTGTTATTGGTTTTCTTTCAAGTGCCATTATATATGAAAAGCATACCCTCACCCACCAGGTTGTGTAATAACAATAGATTAGCGATGCATTGTCGCAGTGACAATTATTTCTCTCATCTGTCATCAGTGTATGTTTTTATTGGGGTAGAAGTTGGAATATAAGGCAGGAATAGATAGGTTTTGGTGAAATGTTTTTTAGGAAAATGAAATTCTCCAATTACTCTCTCTTCCTGGCAATGAAATGAACAGCAGTCAAAGGAAAAAAGAAATAGGGTAGGATCCATATTTCTTCAGCTTTTTCCCCTGTAATATTCAAAGGAAATGCTTAATGAGAATATGTACTAGGGACGAGATATTACCAGTAAAAATACATCAATGTTTTAAGTTTAGGTTTGTATTTCAGGTTAGTGTTAAAGATATAAAGACATGAAGGATTACTTTCCTGTCCATTATCTTCGGGCTGGTGGTCACTCCCTCTAAGCCCTTTTGGTTTTAATGTTTAGTCAAAAGTTTAGAGATATCCTGATGAATTAATTCTATATTCTTTATCAACACTACTTTATTAACTGCATATTTATTTGACCCATACCTACCAATCTAGACAGAGCTTCAAGAATGCTCTTCCAGGGTCTCCCTGGTGGCACAAGGGGTTAAGACGCAACCTATGAAGCTATTTGCAGCCACTGCAGCATAAGTTCAATCCCCGGCCAGGGAGCTACCCACATGGCACAGCAGATCTCTCCTGATTCACCCGCTGCTCCCCTCAGCAGTGTGTTTCAGTCAGTCTGCCTGTTCTGTTCCCCTCTCTGTCTTTGGTGAATCTCTCACCCCCCACACCTCTGGCCTGTACCCCAGTTCTTGTATGCATAATTAAATAAATCTTTAAAAAAAAAAAAAGAATGTTCTTCCAAAGCTTTCAAGGAAAAATTTCAGAAAATATGACTCTTACTTGTAGAAAGATGTAGCAAAAGAAGGAACATGTTAGAAATACCAAATTCTTAAGGCTGGTGACATTTCTGAAAGCAAGAAACAGTGAGGTTAGAATAGGAAGCACTCCAAAGCTGGGCATGAGACATATTTATCTTTATAGCTCACCTGTGTGGCTCATAGTTCAGCTCACTGAATGGCAGGTCGTTGAACCTATAGCTTAGTGAGCAGAGCCATTACTGCCTCAGCAATACATTTCAAATATTAGAGAATCTTAATTTTGTCATCTAAAGCTTAGTAGGTTGATTTCCTTTTTTTAAAAAAAAGATTTATTTTATTTATTTATGTATACCAGAACTGGGGTATAAGCCAGAGGTGCCGGGGCAGGGGGATAGTGTGTGTGAGAGGATTCACCAGAGACTAAGGGGAGCAGTGGGAGAGACAGGAGAGATCTGCTGCTTTATGTAGGTTAGCTCCCTGGCGTATCAAACTCATGCCACAGTGGATGGCAATAAGTAAAGCTTAGTAGCTTTCAAGGAGATTGGTTTGTTAATTATTCCCTAGCAATCTTTTGGGATATAGATTTA